ATCTTGGTGTACCAAAGTAAGTTTTAAGAACCCATGAAGGTACGTGTACATGGTCCGGTACCATCTTGGTGTACCAAAATAAGTTTTAAGAACCCATGAAGGTACGTGTACATGGTCCGGTATCATCTTGGTGTACCAAAATAAGTTTTCAGAACCCATGAAGGTACGTGTACATGGTCCGGTATCATCTTGGTGTACCAAAATAAGTTTTAAGAGCCCATGAAGGTACGTGTACATGGTCCGGTATCATCTTGGTGTACCAAAGTAAGTTTTAAGAACCCATGAAGGTACGTGTACATGGTCCGGTACCACCTTGGTGTACCAAAGTAAGTTTTAAGAACCCATGAAGGTACGTGTACATGGTCCGGTACCATCTTGGTGTACCAAAATAAGTTTTAAGAACCAGTCATGGTCCGGTACCATCTTGGTGTACCAAAGTAAGTTTTAAGAACCCATGAAGGTACGTGTACATGGTCCGGTACCACCTTGGTGTACCAAAATAAGTTTTAAGAACCAGTCATGATCCGGTACCATCTTGGTGTACCAAAGTAAGTTTTAAGAACCCATGAAGGTACGTGTACATGGTCCGGTATCATCTTGGTGTACCAAAGTAAGTTTTTTAAAAACCAGTCAGGCTGATGCTGGACAATTAAGACAATGATGGTTTGCTGCACAGTGAAAAGCATTAAGTTTTTCACTGTCTTTTAAATTCACAATTTTACCAGTTCCACTACCAGTACCAAAATTAAAACTCGGCGAATGTTTAATATGTTTACTGTATTTATAATCTATTTCAACCAAGGTGCTCAAGCAATTAATTTTGTTTGTTTTTTATCTAGGTCAACCTTGCCCTCCATTAATGCCTCCCACCAATGGATTCTATACTCCATTATCTTGCCAAAGTGAAGGAGGGTCTTTCAATGATGTGTGCCAGTTGTCATGCCAACAAGGATATCAACTTGAAGGTGTTAGTGTTTTTATATCCCAGAGTTGCTTGGCAACAGGAGAATGGAGTTCCTCTAATACCCTTCCAATGTGCCAAGGTATGATGATGATTTTAAAACATGTCGTTATGACATGTTGCGTTCAGTACAAGTCTCATGCAACATAAAATGCATCTTTTGTTTACATGAAATTTGAATGGATAAAATTTGGTCTTAATTCTGTCTTTATGAAATTTTTTTTTTTTTTTTTGCACATGACAATTGCATTGAAAAGGATGGTAACTATGTAGTTGGTGCAGCTTAATTTCTAAATTGGTGTAAAATTGTATATGACATTACGTGTGTTGTATCTGTCGCGTGGGACCCACAACGTACAAGCATTTTTAAAAGAGAAGTCAGTTCTGCAATTCTTTCACTTTGTTATGTGGAGGTGATTGGACTGTGACAAACTATAAAAAGTAAATGCAAAATTCTTTCTAAAGAAACCACCCCTCTGTTAAAAAAATGCCAATCGTGACATGCAACTTCCCCCTGCTTTACACCATCATGTCTGTTTTACAGATGTTGCCAAACCAGTATTGGCCAACTGTCCATTAGACATGACAGTTATGGCAGCCAGAAATCAACAAAGTGCCATTGTAAGCTGGGCTATTCCAAGTACTACTGATAACTCTGGAGAAGTCAACTTAACTCATAGTGTACAACCACCTGTTGAGCTCAGTAATGGGCAGCATGCTGTTACAATCACAGCTACTGACCCCTCTGGTAACTCAGCTGTTTGTCAGTTCACTGTCACGGTACAAGGTGAGATATTCTTATTTTAAACTTTTGTCACAAATAAAAAGCACATAAATTTTGGTGCAGACAATGTAGACAATGGAAGAGTAAGTCCATTTGGTTTAAAATTAACATATAAACTACAAGAACATACACAAAAATGTGAAAAAATGTTGCGCCAAATTTTTGCATCTTGTTTAAAAAAAGCATTCAAATTTTTTACCAAATTCATTCAGTTCAAGAATCCATATTTTATTTTTGAGTGATTTAATTTCTGCAACATGAAATTGTGATATGTATCTATTTCAGAAATTCTCCCCTGCACACATATAATTATAATTACATTATTTTAATTTCCTGTACAGTCATTGATTGTGGCCAACCATTGGTTCCATTACATGCTACATTGTTGCCATGTACAACCCACTATGGATCTACCTGTACCATCACGTGCAACATTGGATACGCGATTACAGGGTCAGGTCAAAGGTCATGCGAAATTTATCCCAATAGGCAACCATATTGGAGTGGCACCATTCCCAGGTGTAACAGTAAGTGCCTTTATATGTACATTCTGTCTGATGAAAGTCTTGGCTGCCCAGGATAATGTGAACAGCGTCCTCTATAGGTTTTTGGTTGAAATCTTTTTTTTTTTAAATTGTTCAAAAAATGCATTATAGAGAATTTATGGGGTATGAGAAGTACCATAAATTTATCAATTTTATATCTGCTCTATTAAAAACACATGTGCTTATGTAAATGAAAGAGGAGAATCTATATTGTCAATATAATGATTTAGCTCAAGTCAAAGTCAAGATCTTCAGCATTATTTTCGATGCCATGTTGTTTCCTAGACGATTAGACCTGCTACAACTCCTCTTCTCCTGATAGGTCATGTCTGTTATTAACTAATCAGAATGTATTTTTGTACCAACGCAATGCTTTGGGAATTGGAAAAGTCAAACAACACTCAATTTGGGGCTTGTTGTTGTTGGAAAGATTGAGTGCTTAGTTGAACATAACCCTGAAAATAGAAATGCCTAAAAAGTGGGGGTGGGCCCTAGCTTAGTCAAGCCTGAGCTCGAAAGTAGATGAGTATATTATGCTTTTCTATCAGGGATGTGCTTCTCCTGGAATAATTACCGTATATCAATACCATTTCTGTTTCTTTAAAAAAATATCTTGTCTGTGTATGTTACTATATCATCTGTATTTCCCTTTTCTGCCCTCTTGCTACAAAAAGAACATGACCAGAAACATAAAAATATGATTTTTAAAACAAAGTTAGTTTTAGTAAATAATTATGATGCATTACAAATAATTCATCGCTTTTTTTTTTTTTTTTTTTAGTTGTAGTATGCCCTGCCCCCCATATACCCCCACATGTTGTACAATCTGCTTGTATAGCACCATTTATCTATAACAGTGTATGTACACATAGATGTGATATTGGATATGATCATACTAGTGGTAATCAGACTAAGATATGTCTGTCTAATGGAACGTGGTCCGGAGAGTCAATGCAATGTACAGGTATGAATCACATTCGTTTATGAATTCCACAACCTTTTAACTCTCATCTTAACAGCCTCATGTACTTGAACCTTGACTTGACCAAATAAGGTTTAAATCAACGCAATAACTTTCATAGAATTTGCTCTTCCAATGCTCTTAATTACTGATACCTGCTGTACACATTCTAATCATCAAAAATATTGAAAATAAATTCCATTACCGTACAAACTCTCTTATGAAAATAAAGATGATTGGTTGTTTAAGACACATACATGTATATTATAAAATACTCACACAAAGTTTGGTGACAAAATTTGGTTGTTTAGTCTACCCTAAATCAACTTGGGTAGCGAGAATTTTCCAAATTTCAAAATAACTAATGCCAAAAATCAGCACTTAAAATTTACGATTAAAATAATTTTCGCATCATAAATTATTAAAAATACTGACAAATTTAAATGCCTGCATGATGCAGTCTAAAGACATGAGTACATTAATCAATGTTGTACACTATATTTACACTGCTTTCAATGATACGTATTTTATTTTATTTATTATCTTGTAAAATGTTACATACTGATAGAAATTTGTATTTCTAAAGATGCAATAAACATATTATTAAAGGGCGGCAGTCGTCGTGCCGCGTCCTGTTCGATATGGGAC